GCTGGAGCCCCCCACAGGCAAAAAGTAGGGACCTGGCAATCCTAAATTTAAGTGGGGCAGACAAAACTGATGGGTGCAGGATAAGTACATCACAACTAAAATAAATGTTGTTTTATTATTACTCTTGTTATCTTTGTGTTTACCTTTCTACCAAACTAACTACTGTGAAAGTACAGGGGGGCTCAATTTTATATTCTTGCCTTAGGTGCAAAATAAGCAGGTTATGGCTCTGATCAACTGGCTCTTATTTCTACCAGATTCACATCACTTGATTGCAGAATTGGTTTCAGAATTGAACCCCTCAACAGTGACCACTATGGAGGTGATAAGAGGCAGTGACTGATGGCTGGTCTCTAAGCAGAGATCGATACTAGCCATCTGACTGTACAATCTAGCCCTCCCTTTAATTATTTCTTACTTTCCTAAAGAAGGCAAAATGATACCAAAGAGACTGAAGAAGATGTTTCAAGGAAAAAGAAACTGTAGAAAAGGTCAACAGAAATAGAAAATACAATGGCAGGCAACATTACGGTTGCCAACCTCTATATGGAGCCTGGAGATCTCCCAGAATTACAACTGGTCTCCAAACTAGAAAGATCAATTCACCCAGAGAAAATGACTGCTTTGGAGAGTAGACTCTGTGGTACTATACCTACTGAGCTCCCTCCTCAGGCTTCATCCCCAAATCTCCAGGAATTTCTGAACCTGTATTTAGCAATGTTTGAATTCTGTTACCCGTTTTTCTTATTTTTTGCCACCACTAGATAGAGCTGCAGCAACACTGAAATACAGTCATTGGCTGGCACACAGATAGGAGAGTGCATTTCATTCCTGTGCTGGTACTAGCCAAATGTGAAGCGGAAAGGCAAGCAGTCTATTTTGAGCACAGCTCCAAAATTATTGCCTCATAAAATGCCTCAGTGCTGCCAGTATTAAGCTGCAAATATTTTTATAGGCCTCCCAAAGCAGTATCTAAATTCCTGAATCATTATGGAAGAAGAAGCAGGACAGTCAGAAAGAACCAGCAAAGCTCGGAAGGAGAAAACATATTATACAATATAGCCCTTGAAAGATCACCTTTCCCAGTATAAACCCATGCAGCTAATGTCCTCCTCACAGCAAGGCCTCCTAGCACTTCCTTGCCTCCGCACTTGAGGATACACTCTTATGACACAGGCCTTTTCTGTTGCTGCCCCAGTGTCAACAGTAGAGCTGGTCAGAGGCCTTTATCTTCACTTACAACACTGCCAACATCCACCACTTCAGGGAGTTCTGAGAGCAGGGAGGCTTGATGCCATCTGCCCAAGCACCTAAGGAAAGAAAACCTGAAGGTCTAGGGAACGTACCCTGAGGAACATCTGCTCCCCTTAAAGGTAAAGGTAAAGGTTCCCTTGCTCGAAAGCCAGTCGAATCCGACTCTAGGGTTGCGGTGCTCATCTCCGTTTCAAAGCCGAAGAGCCAGCGCTGTCCGAAGACGTTTCCGTGGTCATGTGGCCGGCATGACTAAACACCAAGGCGCACGGAACGCTGTTACCTTCCCACCGAAGTGGTACCTATTTATCTACTTGCAATTTCTTGCTTTCGAACTGCTAGGTTGGCAGGAGCTGGAACTAGAGACAGGAGCTCACCCTGTCTTGCGGCACCCGGGTCTTGAACCGCTGAACTACTGACCTTCCACAGCCTGCAGTTCAGCGTCTTAACCACTTGAGCCACCGCAGCTCCCCTTGCCTAGTGCCTAATATTCGCTCCTACTGCTGCTGAAGGGGAGCAGAACCAAGACTGCAGCACGTGGAAATCAGCCTGGCTGCATTTGAAAGCACTGGCAGCACTTATTATTCCATGGACAGGCTGCTTGAAGGAGGGACTCACCTCTCTTTGCCTCGGAAATTCCTTCAGAGCAGCAAGGTAGCAAGGCCAAGGCAATATCTTCTCCAACACCCACATTCATTTCAACCAATTCAATGTCTGCATATGAACTGATTTTACTCTCGCAAAACACTTCGAGAACGATTGTGATTGAAAAGCATTGTGTGAATACAGCAAACAAATGAACGAAGGCTTCACCTAAATGCCAAGGGAGTGCTAATTATGATTGGTCTCAAAATGCTACAACCAAGAGGCTTCACATGGTTGCTCTGTGTGTGTGTGTTACTATATGGATTGTAGCTGTTATATAAAGTGTGTGTGTGTGTGTGTGTGTCTTACTATATGGATTGTAGCTGTTATATAGAAAGTCTCCATAGGAACTGTCACAACTTTAAAATATCTTTTTTACCTCACTATCACCACTGTCACAATCTGTAATGCCAGTACCAACTCTTCCAAAAAGTAAGACAAATAATAGCAACCTAATTTTAAAAAGGCTGCAATGAATAACTCCATTTATAACCAGAAAAGAATGCAGTTTTATCAAGGAACAGAGGAAGCTCAACTACAAGTAACTATCCTGATCTCATGTCTGGAACAGCATCTCCCTCTGATCCACAAGTAGGAAAATGGAATTGCTGGGTTTCTCAGAACTTTACATGCCAGCATCCTCTAAATATATAACAACTTTTTCTCAGGCTAACAAAATGAGCCACTTTTATGTGGACCCCAAAAATGCTACCTAACCTGGTAATGTACCTTGTATCTACTTCTGTATTCTGTAGAGAAAGATATGACATCTGGATTTCTCAGAGCCCCACAGGCTAGCATCCCCAACCTGCCTGTCATCTCATTCTCTGCCTCACAGCTAAAAAATCTACCTAGGTACATGCACCTCTCTTATGAGAAACCATAAAACTGATAGCTTGGTTTCTCGAAGCTCTACCTTTCTGGATCCCCTAAGTGTACAGCATTTTGTTCTTTACCTCAGGCATGAACAATGTAGGGTGTGCTTGCCACTCTGTTTCTGTAAGTTATTAAAGAGGACAAGAACAGTATTACTTAGTAGCTCCATCAATAAATGTCCCCACAGAAGGGTACGGCACCTTGACAGTCTCTCTTCCTTACAAGTGAGATCACATTCCTTTGTTTTGTTAAACCTGTACTCACAATCATTATTTTGGAGAAGACCACTACACATGCACACATTAACATGCATCAAACATCAGAAAATTGATTAATCTATTTGCTACAGTTCATCTTGACTGTGAGCACAAAACGATGCCTGAGGTATATAAATGAGTCACTCACCCATGCAAAATAGAACAGGAGTCCAGTGGTACTTTAGAGACAAACAACTACCTTGAGTATTTACAACTCAATAATCACTTATTTTGAATCACAGTATCCATCTAAACCACATTTCCCAAGATATTGCCAATAGTTGAAGCAGAACTTTTCAGATGACGGTGTAGCTCTGAAAAACACTCAGTTTGGATCATCACTCCCTTTGTAGCTCTGAAAAACACTCAGTTTGGATCTGCTTTATAATCATCACTCCCTGTGGACATCAGTCACAGTGATAATGGCCTCATTATCATTTCAGAGGCAGGCTGGAGAGTAGAAAACCTCTTCCACACCGTGGGAGTTTGAACACAGAACCTTGGGTCATAATTTTAAAGTGCATTCATAGCCCATACAGCAATTGTAAAAATTTCATCTTGACATTTCTTGGCTCCATGGCTTTGCAATTACTCAAACGTGGGACTCCCCCACCCACCTTATTTGTGGCTATATAGGAACATAACATTTCTCACCTATACAGCCAGATTACACCAAACACGCCTCATCTGGCTCTTCCAGAACTTCTCCCAGCTTCTAACGGTTACCATATTTTTTCTCTGTAAACTGGCCTCATGCAAGGTGGAAACTATCACTGCAATACTCAACCCTCACAGAACTGTATCAAGAAGGTCAAAAGAATCAGCTCTTGTTACCTGGTAGTAATAATCGACATACTCTGTCTCATAGTGCCGAGGCCCAAGGCTTCCAACAGACAACGCATCTTTCAGTAACTCTTCACAGCCTGAAAACAGGAAGAAGGAACAGATATTCAGAAGAGCCTCAGAAGAATAATTTAGATTGGAATGGTTGTGCAAGTCACAGCTAAAGGAAAGGCAAAGACATACTTGGGATAGTGTTTGCGACCCTTTTCAAACTGCCTTTTGTATTCCATTTTAGTAACTGGTTGCTAATGAATTTTTTCTGTCATTTCAGACAGACCCATTTTAGTAACTGGCTGCTACGGAATTTATTTACCTGTTCATACAAACCCACTTGTGTCCAGTTAGGGAATCATGGTTGAGCTGCTTTTGAAGGAAACTGATTTTTCCCATTTGCAACCCCTCCGTTGCGCTTCTGAATTGCTATGGTGTGCTGTTTAAAATGCCTATAGTGCTTCCTACAGTGCTGCTCCCCCCTTTTCGCTGCACGATCTTCCTCAGACTTTTTTTGAATGTTCTAAGGTAAGTGCTATAGCCAATGTTTTTTTAAAAGCCCGAGAAAGATTGTGCAGTGAAAAGGGGTGTGTGGGGGAAGTGGCACTGTTTGAATAGACCATTAATGGCTCATTAATGGAAGGAAATTCACTGTATGAAACCCCCATTCCGTATCGCTTTACTCGAAATTGGGTCAACAACGAATAACATTTGGTTTAGAATGGTAATGTGAAAAGGGCCATTATGTGGACTAGGGCCATATCATAGTCCTAAATGTAAATGACAGTGATTGCACAGAGAGGGAAAGTGTCCTTATTCTCAGGTTTGGTGTGATCAGTCGAACAACTTCATTGAGCCTAAAATCACAAAACTGTACATATCACACACACCTAAAGTTCCCTCTGCATAACCATGAGATGGTGATGGCCACAAGCACAGATGGCTCTAGGGTTGCCAGGTCCCCTCCTCGCTCTGGCAGGTGGATTGGGGAGGCATTCTGGGGGTGGGCCTCCCAAGAGTGACCTCCCGCCCGGCCACCCCTCTCACTCCTGCCCAATTTAAAGGGCTTCAGCTGGTCGGCTAAAGAGAGAGAGGGAGGGAGAGGTGACGGGCGCAGGCTCTGCTCATAAAATACCCTTTAAAGGGTCTTTTTGAGGGTGGGGTGGGGGCCATGGCACACTCGCAAAAAGACCCTTTTAAAGGGTCTTTTTACGAGTGGAGCCTGTGTCCTCCCCTCCCTCCCTCCTGCCGGATCTAAAGGGCCATCCAGCTGGTCAGCAAGCCATGTGGTCTCCGCTGACCAGCTGAAGCCATTTAAATCAGGCAGGAGGGGAGGAGAGGGGTGGCTGGGCAGGTGGTCACTCTTGGGGGTGGGGCTTCCCCACCCACCTGCTCAGCGGGGGTAGACTGAAGCCCCCAGAAGTGGGGGAACCCTCACCTTGACCTGGGGGCTGGCAACACTAGATGGCTCTGAAAGGGAATTAGATTAATGGAGAATACCTAAAAATTTATACCTACAAATTAGATTAATGGAGGATACCTACAAATTCATTCATATCACACCTTTATCCCCAGTGGGGACTGAAAGGGTCTAACATTGTTCTCTTCTCCATTTTATCCTCATAACAACGTTGTAGGGTAGGTTAGGCTGAGATTGTGTGACTGGCTCGAAATCACCCAGTAAGCTTCCATGGCACAGTGAAAATTCAAACCTGAGTCTCCAAGATCCTAGTCTGGTACTCTAACCACTACACTACACGAGCTCTGTGATGAAACTCAACATGCATGGACAGCTTACATCACTGATGCTAGGAAGGAACATCAGGAAGGGCTTTGGTCTCCATGCCCTGCTTGTTGACCCTCTAGGACAACTCATTGGCCATTGTGGGAAACAGAATGCTGGACTGGATGGACCACTGGTCCAATCCAGCAGGTCTTTTCTTATGTTTTTATGTTAACTGAGAACCCTGGTAAAGCTCTCTCCATGGGATGGGGAATCCTGGAAAAGTTTTAGAACCAAATATTAAACAGTCAGTCCTTGAGCATTTAGAAAGGATGGCTGTGATCACTAAGAGCCAAGATGGGTTTCTCAAGAACAAGTCATTTCAGGCTAACTTTATCTCTCTCTCTTTTTTTTAAAGAAAGTTACTATCTTGCTGGATCAGGGGAATGCTGTAGACATAATTTATCTTGATTTCAGTAAGGCTTTTGATAAAGTTCCACATAATGTTCTTGTTGACAAGTTGGTAAAATGTGGTTTGGATCCTATTACTGTTAGGTGGATCTGTAACTGCTGGACAAATGGCACCCAAACAGTGCTTGTTAATGGTTCCCCATCCTCTTGGAGAGGAGTGACAAGTGGAGTGACAAGGATCTGTCCTGGGACCTGTTTTGTTCAACATCTTTATAAATGATTTGGATGAAGAAATAGAGGGAATGCTTATTAAATTTGTAGATGATACTAAATTGGGAGGGGTAGCAAATATGGTAGAAGACAGAGTCAGGATACAGGATGATCCTGACAGGCTGGAAAACTGGGCTAAAACAAATAAAATGAATTTCAATGGAGATAAATGTGAAGTTTTGCATTTAGGTAGGAAAAATCAAATGCATAATTATAGGTTGGAAAAGATTTGTCTTGGCAATAGTATGTGCAAAAAGGATCTAGGGGTCTTAGTAGACCATACACTGAACATGAGTTGGCAGTGTGATGTGGTAGCTAAAAAGACAAATTTCATTTTGAACTGCATCAACAGAAGTATAGTGTCCGGATCATGTGAAGTGATGGTATCGCTTTACTCTGCTCTGGTTAGACTTCACCTAGAGTATTGTGTTCAGTTTTGGGCACCACAGTTTAAGAAGGATACAGCCAAGCTGAAACGTGTCCAGAGGAGTGCACGGAAGATAGTGAGGGGTCTGGAGACCAAGTCCTATGAGGAAAGGCTGAAGGAGATAGGTATGTTTAGCCTGGAGAGGAGAAGACAGAGAGGTGATATGATAACCATCTTGTTTTTGTTGCCATCAAGTCACAGTTGACTTATGGCAACCCCATGGAGTTTTTCAAGGCACAAGACATTCAGAGGCAGTTTGCCATTGCCTGCCTGTATGCCACAACCTTGGTATTCCTTGGTGGTCTCCCATCCAAATACCAGCCAGGGCCAACCCTGCTTAGCTTCCAAGATATGACAAGATCGAGCTCACCAGGGCTATCCATGTCAGGGCCATCACCCCTTACACATGTTCATCTAGTTACTGCTTGTCAGATATTGTATTTTTTTCAGTGCAGTGATAATGTATTTTTAATAGCGCAATACACTGAGTGCCCATATGGCTTACTGGACAGAGGAAGGTAGATGTCATTTCATGTGCAACACTACAACTAACGCTATTGTTCCTAATGGATATGTTTTTTAAAGTTATATTCTATAGACCAGGGTTGTCGAACTCATTTGTTATGAGGGCCAGATCTGACATAAATGGGACATTGTAGGGCATGGGCCATGTGTGTCATAAAACGTAATGCCAGATAGCAGAGATATTATGTTGGAGCCCCACATTAGGAGGGGGTGTTAAAACTAATATTTCTCTGCAAAACTGGAGATCCTTGAGTTTGTAAAACTCTATATTTTAACTGTGGTTGGTCCCAAACCTTCCCCCCATCCTTAAAAGATGCCTGCCTAAATGGGAAAGGTGGGGAAATACTGGGTTTTGGCAATGCTATTTTTAAAATAAACATCAAGAAGCACAAGGGATCACAGCAGAAACTAAAAATATAAATGCTCTGAGCCTAGGACCCAGGGGAAAACATGAAATGGCTGAGTGTAGCAAGCTTCTCCCCCCTCCCCCAGGTCTACTCAAAGTGGCAGTGGTTCTCCAAGGTCTCAGGGTTTTTTTTACAGGGTGGTTTGAGATAATAATTTTGGTTGCCCTCTTCAGCACTTGTCCTGCTATTATATTGGAGCCCCACATTAGGTAGGGGTGTGTTAAAACTAATATATCTCTGCAAAACTGGAGTTCCTTGAGTTTGTAAAACTCTATATTTTAACTGTGGCTCACAGGAAAATATTGTATCGAGACACAATCACCCAAATAATACCAAATAGTACAGCAAAACAACAAAAGCAAACAAACACCTTGCAACTCGCTAGTGCTTTATTCTACTTTTTGTCCAGTCCCAATTACAGAAGTGAGCTGTGCTGGAAGAAAAATCTTAAAAGCAAAGAAATTCAATAAGGTTAAGTCAGAAGAGGAGTAAGGTACAACTCCTTTCATGCATGTGCTTCATTTTTGTTACAAAAAAGTAGACCTCCCAGCTTAATGCAAACAGGCAGACACCTGCACAAATACATGTGGATCCATTAAACAGTGGAGCTACCTGTAGTTTGTCTCTTAGGAGATGAGATTTAAAAAGAAATAATCAATGCCTATGTTTTAATTCCAAGCATCCAAGCTAAATATAGCCATTTAATGAAGCAGCCCAATTCCCCGCAAAGACCAATGACCCTGCAGTGGAATGCAGCAAGGGCAATAAGAGGTCGAGTTATTTTAAAACTGGGCGATGACTCTCTTGCTGTCTTAGATGTGAGATTCTTCACCGTGAAAATGACGAAACCAGGAAGGCTGCAGTTATCTTGTGGTACTTCTCTTTCTAGCATATTGCTAAGGGATGGGATATATATTTTGGCTTCAACCCCCTACCCTGCTATTCCCAGCTGCAAGGCAGGTAAAGTCAGAGAAGGAAATCATACCAAGTTATGAAGATTATTCACCATGGGTGTTTGGAGGGAGGGAAAGCCTTTGGGAAAGAATTACAGGCAAAGTCCACGGGCTGCGCAGACAAAATTAAATCTCTTGACTAATGACACGAGTTTTGGCAAAATAATAACACTGGATGTAGACCTATTGCTTTGTTTACTACCATAATTCCCCCAAATAATTAATAATCAGCGGCAATTTGGCTAACAAGAAAGGGACATGCCTGGACTGAATAATGGAACTTTTTCTGACTGCCCACTTTGGAGTTTTTAAGGTCAATACAACTGGTTCTGGTCATCCCTACTGGGCTGCTGGTCTCCTCTGGTGGTACTAA